GTGTCCCAGATTGACCGCCTGACGTCGGACTTCGCTCTGGACCTGGAGCCGGACGCTTGGACTCCGGCCACGGCCAGCAGCACGTCCAGCAGCGACCGGGGCGGCGCCAGCCTCGAGCTGGGCCCGCTGGACTTCGCCGCCTCCGACGTCCTCTCGGACAGCTGGGAATTCTGCTCCTTCCTGGACGCCTCCACGCCCTCGGACCCCGGCGATTGCCCGGAGCCGCCGCGGCCGCCGCCGGCCCGGCTGATGAACGGGGCGGTCCCCGTGGCCAACGGTCCCCGCGGGGGCGGGGGGACCCCAGATTCCTCCAGCGAGGAATGCTTCGGGAGCGCCGCCGTTCCCAAAATCCCGGCGCAGCAGCGGCCGGCGGGGACGCGGGAGCGCGTCCGCTTCAGCGACAAGGTGCTCTACCACGCCCTGTGCTGCGACGACGACGACGGCGACGCCGACGTTCCCGACGTTCCCGACGATCCCGACGATCCCGCCGGGAAGGGGCCTCGGGAGCAGCCCCCGAGGAAGCCGGGCGCGATCCCGATCCGCAGGGCCACCAGGAACAGCAGCACCCAGACCGTGGCCGACAAGAGCACGCAGACACTGCTGCCCTACGTCCCGGCCAGGCAGAGAATTCCCAACAAAAACTGAACCCGGATCCGGGTTTGGGAAGGGTTTGGGGGAGGGGGAAAAAATCCCTGGGAAAGGGGCTGGAAAAGATCTATATATAAATATAAATATATATTTCAATAAATCCGTACTCCTCATAAACGCCGAGTGAGAAGGTGGCAACAAATATCCCGATATCCCGATATCCCCATGGTTTTCCAGGCTCAAGGAATTTTAAATGCCTTTTTTTTTTGATGGATAGAAGGATATCAATCATATCCTTCAATAAATCATCCAGCACGGAGAAATCCCGACCGCGACGCGGATGCGCCAGGAGGGGCCGGTCTCCATTCCGGAGGGCGGGAATGACGCAGGGATTGGGATGTGGGAATGCTGGAGGGGGTGGCAGGATTGGGAAGGGGGAATTTCCCGAATTTCCCTTCCCTGGGATGTCTTATCCCTGTTCGCTTTAGGGAAAATCAGTGGGGTCGGATTTTCCGGCTGAGGGGATGGTGGCTCCAGGATGTCACCGGAATGTCACCGGAATGTCTTTCCCAACTCTGAGAGGGACAACGAGGGGACCACCAAAACCCCCGGGAACGAGGACCTGGCCTTGGGAACTCCTCCCCACTGCATTCCCAACTTTTCTGGTGGAATTATCCC